AATATATATATATATATATATATATATATATATATATATATATATATATATATATATATATATATATATATATTGTATCATTTAAAATATTTGTCAACAACGATATATAATCTAATAGTAAAATACTTGATATTCACTAATTAATACTATGATCTAATTCAGGGGAACATATTGACATTAACCCTGTCCATACAGTGTGGAGTCGTTTATAAATGGCCCCAGACACATATTTGTAGTGCTTCAAAGGAATTTAACTGCGTGAGGGGCACTATGTTGTCATTTGTAATAGCTTAAAGTAAAATGCTGCATTTTATATATTCTATACGCACAGGAGTTGATTATCGCTGTTTGCTTCCAACAGACTTAAATATTAAATCCTTTTTTCTCATATCCATGAAGCCTGAAATAAATAATGATGTCAGTTACATAAAGATTTGAAAAAAGTTAAATTATAGTTTAAAATGCTTGGTTGGCATCTAATTTTCTATAATTAACAAAATAATGTGCGTCTCATCTAGAATAGCAGGGTATTTGGAAATGAGACTTTGTAACCGTATCGATAATTTGTATTGCTTATATCTATTGGGAATATGTAATAGTGAATTTTTTGCCAAATCTACAGGAAGGCGGACAAAGAAAAATATGTCTTTATATAACTCTATTGTTTTTGCAAGTAATATCGAATTCTGTTTTGAGTAGTACGCACATCGTGTGTCTTTAAGCCTGTTTCATGTTATAACCTTGTATAAAACCATAAAACCGCTTGAATAAAAGTTATATATTTCACTATTTCAAATAACCAGTTGTGTCCCATTTTATTACCACGACCAATACATATTTTCATTCATTTCCTAGCAACATACCCAAATGAACTGACAGTGTAAGGAGCCTCTAAAAGATGATAAGGATTTGCTCAGGGGGCGTACGTAAAGGACATTAACAGGAGAGGATTTTTCTTAAGATATTACGCAATTCATCATAATTGGCTAAGTTAAAGTAGGACAAGTTTCCTACCCCCAAATAACTTTCTAATACAGGTCCGGAGCCAGAAATTTTAAAAGGGGATGCATTTTCTGAAAAAATGACTTTTAAACACGGATGTAGAATTATAATAGAATTTCTTATTTTAAAAAGAGAAAACCATTGAGGAAATCACGTGACCTACTGACCTACGTGACCTACTGAACCTGCTGCCCCCCCGTTCCTCCATTGCTGTTACACACTAGATGCGACCCAGCCTCAACTATTGCTGGTCACCCACTCATGGAGATCCAAAAGCACATCCGTTCCTTTGATTGGTATTTTTTGTAATATAGTGTGTTCTTAAAAACTCAAGGGCCCCGGAATAACCTGCTAAAGTGGGGGATGGCAGGGGTGGTGGACAAGCTGTGTTGGATCACTTTATTAGGTACCATTTAGTTAAAATTAATCAAATACAACCGAGACAAACCCAAGGCATTAAAATGTTATAACCAAGACCAACTAAATTGTAAAGTTTAAGCGTTTTGGACTTTAAGGACCACTTAGCACCAGGGCAAAACCAACAAAATGTTTTCTGCCTACTCCGACAGCACCTAGGCATCATAGGGATCCCATATAATAATTGTCACAAGAAGAGACATAATAAGCTCGAAGCAAACTAAACAAAAAGGTAACTTGAGTAGTAATGGTGCAGCTACCCTGAACATGTAAGTAGTAGTAGTAGTAGTGGTGCAGCTAAGTGTTTTCTCAGTAAACACTTTTTCCAGTTCACGATAAACTCTGGGTGGCAAAGACAAAATCAATGCTATCATCACATGCCATTCTCATTTTGTAGCCGATGGAGACATTCGCCTGAGAGATGGAAACACACAATACCAAGGTCGCGTGGAGATATACCATAATGGAGAGTGGCGGAGAGTGTGTGATGAAGGGTGGGGAATTAACGACGCCAAAGTTGCGTGTAGGCAGCTCGGCTTTGAAGGCGCACACACTGGTAAATATATAACTTATACGGAGTTTAGGTCGTATTATACACTGGAGTCTCCGAATGCATTCAGATTCAGAGACTTCAACGCTTCTTGTTTCAACGTACTAGTATTATCATCAGGTTTTCTGTATTCTCCTCAATGCTAGGAAAAGGCATGTTAATCTAATTGAATTTATAAGGGTCAGCATGGAGTCTCTGCGTTGTATGTGGATACGATTGTGAACAGACCCTATATATATATATATAAGTAAGATTTGCAATTTTATGAGCTCTTTTATTTTTCAACAGCATATATCAACTATAACCCCAGAGGCCCTGGATCCTTTTGGTTGTCCAACCTCAATTGCGCTGGAACTGAGGGGCGCTTGTCCAGTTGTACTTCCCGAGGGTGGGGCACCATCAGCTCTTACTGCGCAGTCGGAGACAACGACGATGCTGGGGTCGTCTGCAAATCACGTACGTAAATGCCAACGTATGTTTGACATTTTGACAAAAATTGTTAAGATTGTGAGAGAAAAAAAACTTTAGTACTTATTTTCCCGATCAAACTTATTCAAAGAGGTGAACTGTCGTTATAGTAATGCACAGTTCCAGCGGGCAAATTATGTTGTTTTAACGTTGAAACAACGTTGAAACATAACGTTGATAACATGTTGGATAAACATTGGATTTGTCAACGTCAGATAACAACTGTGTATCAACCCCAGTTGTTAGATAACATTCTTGCATAAAAAAGAACATTAAAATGACCTGAAATGTTTTATTTTTGGTACAAAACACAGGTACACCATCATAACGTACACTGTAAAAACATCCAAGTGCCTGTTTTTTTCTGATTCTTTCAATGCATTTAGCTCCAAAGAATGTATGGCACCTACGCATGGTACACCTTTTAGCCTGGATGTGTTTTGCAGTAGGACGTGTTTGATGGTTTAAAGCAATAATAACTTCCGCAAGAAATACAAATTAAACAACGCCTGGAAATATATTCTATTGCATTTCCCACTAAAACGACTGTTATTGTAGTAAAACTAAAATCTGTTCTTGTCACTTGGGCTTTCGATGCCTTTCTTCACGGTCGACAAGTGCATCCGTTGCCAATGACGTTTAGGTGTCACGCGGATTCTCGCGTTCATTCGAGACCAAAAGAACATGGCGGGAAACCCTCAGACGTAAGTTGCGAGTTTTTGCACAGTGCGTCGGATAACGAAAAGCCCAGAATTGCACACATTGTAGATATAAATGCATTTTGAGCAATAAGAGATTTTAACAAAAAACCGTACGTTAAGGAAAAAAAAACCTGGATTATGTTTGAATGCAGGAATGGGGTCGTTGACCATTGGTAAGTACGGGAAAATTGCCGTTTTTTCCAGGAAAATCGTATTTTTGGCCAAAACGAAGAGTTATTATGACATAAAAAAAATATATATAGGCTATATATGTATGGCCTTTAAGTTAGGATTTCCAAGGTTTATATATACAGGTTAAGAAAATTCAATAGTTCACTAAAGACACAAAACAGCTGTCACTTTTACTTTAAAACACTTTCTTAAGAATTTTGATAAAGTTAGTTACAGTATTGATAAACAAAGTATCACGTTTTCAATAATTATTATTTTAAATTACAATCCATGTCTTGCATCACGACGACCACACAACAACGTTGAGTCAATGATCAAAATACAACGCTGAGTCAACGTCACATTATATAAATTAAAACATTTAATAAAACTAGAAAGGGTGCAGCGAACTGCCACAAGACATATTCTGGGTAACAAAATAAATTATAAAGACAGACTGGTTACTTTAAACTTGCTGCCTTTAGCTTAAAGAAGAGAAATTTTAGACGTTACCTTCCTGCATGGTCGTTTTATTGGCAGAGCTGACCTTGATCATACGAAGTATTTGTATTTTACGGAAAGAAGGGGAGATCATTTTATCACCCACAGTGCCAGCTTTTGTAGAACCGAGACGTCTTTTTTTTTAATCGCGTCGTTCCCATCTGGAACGCCCTTCCTATGTGCATACGTTCAGGGGTTGGCAGATCAATGTTTAGACGATCCGTCAGATAGCACTATAGTACTCTTCTGGTGAAGCGCTTTGACCCCGAGAACGTTTGCACTTGGGTGGGTCGTTGCAGATGTTCACATTGTCGTTTTTAGTACTAAAGTAGAGTTTTATATATTTTTTTTTTTTATTATGTGTATATCATTGGGGGTGTCCATTCATGGGTCATTGACCCTTTAGGCAAATTAGGTACAATCTTATTTTTGCATTTAAAAGTGATGTCGAACTATTAGTTGTAACTTGTTTTATTATGCTCCTTTAAAATTCTTGTATATAATTTACCCAATAAAGTCATTCAAATAAAAAAAATGACGGTGTTTTGACGTGGCTGGATCAATGTTGATTTACGTTGAATTTAGGTAGATCAACGGCAATTCAACGTATCGACCTGTTTTCAACGTTGATCCAACGTAGCTATGCCTGCTGGGAGTAGCTCTCCTCCTTTACATTGTAGCTGGCGATGGTGCTGTTCGCCTGGTGAACACAAGTAGCCCCTACGAAGGCCGTGTTGAGGTGTACTATGCCGGGGAGTGGGGACGTGTGTGTGAATACAACTGGGGCTTAAACGATGCCAAGGTGGTTTGTAAGCAACTTGGATTGGCTGGGGCTCATACGTCTTTTAGGGACTGGAATCCGAGAGGCACCGGTTAGTTATATACATTATGTTCTCGGTTATGTCGACATTTGTGCTCGTTTAATAATATGCATATGCATCATTGTTTGATTATTTCTGTGGAAAGTGTGGATGAATGTAATTATTTTCAGGTTCCAGTTCAGATAAAAGCAAATAATTTTAAAATAACATGCTACACGTTACAAAAACCTTATTTTTTTCCAGTCACACACACACACACACACACACACACACACACATATATGGGTAGTTTGGTTTACATTCTTTTCTGACTCAGGTAAATACTGGCTGTTTAATGTCAACTGTGCAGGAACAGAGTCCAATATAACCCAATGCACCCACGGTGTAGTTGGCGTCTATAACAGTAATTGCAGACAAAGTTACTACGACGACGCCGGGGTAATATGCTATGGAGGTGAGTGATGAATATTTATGAATGTATATTCCCAATTGGGTCTGTTTCTCTGCATTATGTATACATACCAAAACACTCTGTGGGTCACTGATTATATCATCACTTCCACCTGCGTCTCAGATAACATTAAATCAGCACAAAAAACTTATTCAGCAAAGGTGATTGTATGGTGTCTTAAATTTTCTGTGATATTTATTTGACCTTATTTCAAAAATAAGATCGATTCTCTTTTGAGTTGATATCTTGGATAGAGCAGTCCTTTTTTTTATTCAAACTTCCAAGATGATTCTTCAAAACCTGCGAAATCGTAAATTAGGGGAGGCAAAATTAAAACATCTACATGTACAAAGAAAGTTTCTCGCAGTCGTATGTTTGTTTGTCTCTAAAACGTATATTGCACAAGCACATTGGTCAGAAGTCGGATAACACCACTTGTGAGTTAAAGAAAGTCGTCCAAACTTGATATGATCATCCCACGCACAATGATACAGTTTAAAGAACAAATATTGTATGAAACGTTTGCTTTGAGTGGGGTTTTGTTAATGTTTTCAGACGGTGACGGTGCATTGCGTCTTATTAACACATCAAATGCGTACGAAGGTCGCTTGGAGATCTTCTATTCCGGGAGATGGGGGAGGGTCTGTGACTACGGCTGGGACCTGACTAGCGCTGACGTGGCGTGTAAACAGCTTGGGTTCACCGGGGCCCACACACACGTATTTAATAAGACACCGCGGGGGACAGGTGAGTATTCAGATTTTATATCTTCCCTGAAAATTAAATTATAATATTTCGATATCGATATATTTAATTGTTTAAAACCGTGATTTAATAACAATAGGTATTGTCATAAAAAATAACGTATATTAATAAATGCTAAAATATATATATTAATATTATAGTAACATAAAAATCAAATTAAAACAAATTTGATATGTACCAGTTCACATTGGTATATTATAACCTTAAATCTTTTGACTATGACCTAGCGATCATATTTCAACAATTCTTTGTTAATTTTACTTGTATCAAAATGATTTTTCAAATATGGGCCGGTATCAGTGCTTGTTTTATATTGTCATGTTGTTAATTTACGAAGTTGTTGAGAGTTCAAAGCATGCAGAGATGTTGATCAATTAAGCTGTTATTTAGAAAACAAACTGTGAAGGCAGTCGTATTCGGCGTTTTCTTTGTTAATGGCGAATGAAAAACAACAAATGGATTACAGGGATGTAACAGGTTTTTTTTTTTTTTTTTTTTTTTCGAGGGGCATTGGCTATCGGAGATAAGAAATATAACACATCAATTGTTGACTGTTGCTTTTGGTTAATATGTTGTTTTGAAGATTGAAGCCAAATTAAGTATTTGTGTGCATTATACTTTTAAACAACAGGTCTATTCTGGATACAGAATTTGAATTGCCATGGAGGAGAGGCACGCTTGGCAGATTGCTCCCATGGCGGCGTTGGCGTAGTCAGCTCATCTTCATGTTCCCAGTCTTCGTCAGATGACGCCGGCGTTCTGTGTAAAGGGCGTGAGTAGATTTCACAGTTGGACCGACTCTCCCGTCCTGCTCGTCACACAATCATTTTCAAAATCCTTAAACAATCCTAAAATATCAAAACAGTTTTAAATGTGGAAAATCGCCCAGAATTTAAAAGGGGGGGATACATTTTTGCATATAAAATGGTCAAAAAGGACCGGCGTGACAGGAATGGTAGTCCGATAGCCGTTCCCCATTATTACAGTTAGGTAAAGGTGACATTTGTCTCATTTACTAAAACTAGAACTCCGACTATCCCTACTGTACTAACCATATGAGACCCCGGACGTTCATTCCAAAGACTACTATTCCTGTTACAGGACAATACTTCGTGTTGTTTTTACTTATTGTTTCTGTTTATTTGCTCTGTATTCCNTTTTTTTTTTTTTTTTTTTTTTCGAGGGGCATTGGCTATCGGAGATAAGAAATATAACACATCAATTGTTGACTGTTGCTTTTGGTTAATATGTTGTTTTGAAGATTGAAGCCAAATTAAGTATTTGTGTGCATTATACTTTTAAACAACAGGTCTATTCTGGATACAGAATTTGAATTGCCATGGAGGAGAGGCACGCTTGGCAGATTGCTCCCATGGCGGCGTTGGCGTAGTCAGCTCATCTTCATGTTCCCAGTCTTCGTCAGATGACGCCGGCGTTCTGTGTAAAGGGCGTGAGTAGATTTCACAGTTGGACCGACTCTCCCGTCCTGCTCGTCACACAATCATTTTCAAAATCCTTAAACAATCCTAAAATATCAAAACAGTTTTAAATGTGGAAAATCGCCCAGAATTTAAAAGGGGGGGATACATTTTTGCATATAAAATGGTCAAAAAGGACCGGCGTGACAGGAATGGTAGTCCGATAGCCGTTCCCCATTATTACAGTTAGGTAAAGGTGACATTTGTCTCATTTACTAAAACTAGAACTCCGACTATCCCTACTGTACTAACCATATGAGACCCCGGACGTTCATTCCAAAGACTACTATTCCTGTTACAGGACAATACTTCGTGTTGTTTTTACTTATTGTTTCTGTTTATTTGCTCTGTATTCCCAATAGCCAACGACGGAGAAATCAGATTGATCGGCCCCTCCCAATATTTTGGTCGAGTTGAGATATTCTACGCAGGAGGCTGGGGAAGAGTGTGCAAATACGTTTGGTCAATGAATGACGCCAAAGTAGCCTGTAGACAGCTTGGCTTCAGCGGGGCGCTGAATTACTGGACAAACTGGACACCTCGAGGGACTTCGAGGGTGGTTCTAGGTACTGTTCGTCCGTATGCGTGTTAGTCCGTATATATGTTCGTCCTTATGTATGTGTTTGTGTTTCATTATGCCAATGTGCCTTTATGACTGTCGTCTGCCTATCCGGGTGCCTGTGTGTTAGAGTGCCTCTGCACCTGTCTGTCTGTGTTTATATCTGTTTGTATGTCTGTCTGTCTGTCTGCCTCTCCAGCTGGATATGAGTTTGTTTCTCTGCCTTTCCTCTGGAGAGGACCTAATTAAAACAGACTCTCAATGCTTTATTTTTGTTCGGATGAGTAATACTTCAAAGTTTGTTACTCATATTTTGTTAGTTTTGTATTTAAGTTGTTCAAGTTTCTGAAATACAGCCTCCAAAATTGTTGTATTGTTAGAAACGGATAATATGCAAAATATTATCATATTGGAAAAAAGAATGGCATGTTGCCAATTTATTGTGTTTTGTGAAATCTATTATACCCGACCAAAAAAATTCATAAGCATCTTTATTTTGAACAACTATAGACATTTGAACTAAGGTAAAAAAAAAAGTTTAGCCAAATATTGGTGGATAATGGGACTACCATTCCTTACTTTTTTAATTTTTTGCAAGAAAAGGAATTATGTGGGACTTTCAGCGACATTTATTATTGCAGGGAAAAGTTCATCTCACAATGGAATGGAATGACAATTATTAAACTTTAAACAAGGTCGTTCCTTGCTCAAACTTTGTCACTCCATTAGCATTTTTTTCTTTTTGGTAATTAAATTTGACCCTACATTTATAAATGTCATTGTAATTTCCACATGTTTTCTTTCCTTGCAAAATTTCAAAACGAGGGCATCGCTTGTGCATAATCCATTTATATTGGATTAAAATGCTTACCTTATCACACATGCTATTGATTATTGATTATTATTATTATTATTATTTTATTCAAAATAGCAATGTTTCCGAATTTTCTTGGTCGAGTGCATTATTTCAAGTAATATCATATTTTGATAAGATATGGATTTGCATTTAAATGTCAAATAACATTTTTTATTTCAATTTGGTGTTTTGGAATGTTCTTATGATTGTTATCATGCCGAATAATGATTAATGTAAGTAGCCCTTATAGACAAGTATAGCGTGCATTTTAGATATAAATTACAATTAAAATTTTCAGACCAATTAAACTGTGCCGGTACAGAAAGTCGACTGGATGCTTGCACTCATGGATGGATTGGATATCCAAGTGAATCGTCTTGCTCGGCAACCTCTGCCGTGGACGCCGGAGTCGCATGTGAAGCGCGTGAGTATAAGAATATATATATATATATATATATATATATATATATATATATATATATATATATATATGATTGTCAAAATGTTTCCATTTTGATAAAGTGCCATTCCCTATTGATGACCCCAAGAATAATAATAGAATGGGCATCAAGGACTTTTTTCATATGTTGAACAGTTAGTTCAATTAGAAATTTCAGTGTTCAGGTAGTCACATTGATTCAGCACGAAGTAGCTTTGGTAGAGCACACCGAGATGTGCCTGCATTTTTTGGTATACACAAGGGAAAAAATCACACCGCACAATCTTCCCATGTCTGTAAGACATATCTATTAAATTAATGTTTAGTATTTCTGTTAATAGTAAGTGGTACTTTTTTAATGGATACATTACATGGCACACTACATGAGCGTTTGTTGAATTCAGAAATACTTTTTCTATGAAAGATAGGTATTCCGGTTTGTTACATTTACATTTCTAGCTGGCGATGGTCAACTTCGTCTGGTGGACGGTAACGGCTACAACAGCGGCCGTGTGGAGATCAAGTTTGCCGGAGTATGGAAGCGCATTTGTGACTGGGGATGGGGAAGCAACGACGCCGCAGTTGTCTGCCGACAGTTGGGATATAGCGGATATGTTAGATCCGCTGCAGGTAAGGCAGGATATCACCCTTTTTCTCTTTAATTCTATGTTTTCTACCAATTCTGATTTGATTTTGCATATTATTCAGTGAACAAATTTCCATAATTCAGATTCACCTTGCCCTTCTGATATTTCAGAATGTTATATCGACATCAGACTAATCCACTGTTCAAATTTAGAAAAATAAGTACTTTGCGGGATATTTAGACATAAAGAATAGGCACTTGTGATATTTTCAAACTCCGATAGTATACTTGAAGCGACATTGACGTTGATGAAACACTTTGCCTACATGCACGTTCTTTTAAGGCAATTTATAACTTCACGAGGCTGCAACGTCAACATAGATTAGTGTGCTTATAGCTTGAATTCAGGCGACATCGGGCCTAAACTTCAAACATTGCGCCTTACAAGAAGGAACGTGTTCTTGGTTTCTTTTGAATATATAATAGCGTTTTATAGTCTCTAACATTTTGTTTTGGATATTCAGGTTGGAACCCCAGGGGAAGTGGGTCTTATTGGCTGCAAAGAGTTGGCTGTATGGGAACAGAGAGCAACCTTACAGACTGCACTCACGGTGGAGTTGGGGCATATACCTCTTCATACTGTGGCTTAGATAGATATGATGACGCTGGCGTCTACTGCCAGGGATACCTACGTAAGTATACGTATTCTGTTTGTCAGTCGGTCGGTCTGATTCTAACTGCCTCTCAGCCCTTTTTGAGATTGGCCTGTCTGTGAGCCAGGCGAGCTGTGCACCATTGTCTCCTTTCTGTAACTTCTTTTATTCTCATTGCAAGGTTTTTGGGCTATCAAGACAGTGGTATAAGTACGTTATACCCCCGTCACACTAGAGGCGGAATGAGCAAGAATGCCGTCGGAAAGACAATACTTTGTGCGCTCCTGGATATTCGAAGAGCATTCTAAAAATTCCGAGTGCATTCTAAATATTTTTACCCATTCTTGTGGCATTCCGAATGTTTTTGTCATGTCAAAACTTCCGAAGTGCATTCCAAGTGGAAATTTATCGAATGACATTTGAACAGTATTCTAACTGCACTATGACTGCATTCTAAATATTCTCACGGCATTCCGACAGCATTCGAAACATTCTGATAACATTAGAGGAATATTCGAACTGACAAGTTACTTAAAGCCCCCGTCAAACTTAATCGAAATCAGTAGGAATCAAGCCAGAATTACTAAATTTAAAAATTCGTGCCATATTCGAGAGCATTTTTAGATTGCTTTTAGAATGCTATTCGAATATCCTGGAATGCACAAATAATTGTATTTCCGAAGACATTCTTAATCATTCCGCCTCCAGTGTGACGGGCATTTTATACTCCGTCAGAATGTTTCGAATGTGCCTCGGATGAGCTGAAATACTAATTTTGCCAGCAATCGAACCACACTAGTGCGCCGTTCAAAGTATATTCTAAATATTCTTACTGCCTTCTTACAGCATTATAAATATTCCTAGTTTTCCAACTACATTCGAACTGCTTTTGGGAGCAACACAGTCGAAAATGCACTCATCATTCCAGGCGAATTCAAGCGCATTCTGAGTATTGCAACGGTACTCTTACGGTAATTAAGATCGATTTGAAAATTTCCCCCCGAATGTGGTTCGAACTTCGTTCGGGCTCATTCTGCTTCATTCCTGCTGATTCCGAATAAGTGTGACGGGGGTATTTGTGACTGGGAATGGGGAAGCAACGACGCCGCAGTTGTCTGCCGACAGTTGGGATATAGCGGATATGTTAGATATAATAGGTCGATAATTCTAGTATTTTGTCCCTTTTGAACAAAGCACATGTACGTTTAAAATGAAATGCACATCGAGTAAAAACATGCAGTATAATGGCTTTCTTCGTCCCAAATAAGCCAATAGAAAGCAACAAAGTTGCGGAGGTAATTTATGCCCCGATTCAGTGAACCTTTGATGGCCCATTAATAGAGACGAATATTTAGTGTCAGCCGTACAATTTCAATGTCTAAATTGTTATGAGAAATGTGCATAATATCTCATTATAATGTATTTCAAAACTGTTCTGAAAACTTGTAATCAAAAATTAATAATTGATATTTGATGTGTATTTTCTCACCAGCGGGTGTTACTCCCCCAAATACAACCACCACCACTCCGAACACACAGACCACAAGAACCACCGTTGCAGTAAGTTGTACTTATTACTTTCATAGTTTGCATCATTTTAAATCAGAATACAAGTACAAATTACTGTTTTTCTTTTTATCAAGAGCTTGTAAAATATGTGGGTATTACCTCCAATATTTCTGTGACTGTCAGTCACCATCATCAGGGAGTAAATGACTAGGGTCATTTCACCTGGAATGAAAATCCAGGTCAATTGCCCCTATAATCACTGGCCTTGTGGGGAGCAAGTAACAGTTACAACACAAGGCCAGTGATTAGGGGCAATTGACCTGGATTTTCATTCCAGGTGAAATGACCCTAGTCATTTACTCCCTGATGATGGTGACTGACAGTCACAGAAATATTGGAGGTAATACCCACATATTTTACAAGCTCTTGATAAAAAGAAAAACAGTAATTTGTACTTGTATTCTGATTTAAAATGATGCAAACTATGAAAGTAATAAGTACAACTTACTGCAACGGTGGTTCTTGTGGTCTGTGTGTTCGGAGTGGTGGTGGTTGTATTTGGGGGAGTAACACCCGCTGGTGAGAAAATACACATCAAATATCAATTATTAATTTTTGATTACAAGTTTTCAGAACAGTTTTGAAATACATTATAATGAGATATTATGCACATTTCTCATAACAATTTAGACATTGAAATTGTACGGCTGACACTAAATATTCGTCTCTATTAATGGGCCATCAAAGGTTCACTGAATCGGGGCATAAATTACCTCCGCAACTTTGTTGCTTTCTATTGGCTTATTTGGGACGAAGAAAGCCATTATACTGCATGTTTTTACTCGATGTGCATTTCATTTTAAACGTACATGTGCTTTGTTCAAAAGGGACAAAATACTAGAATTATCGACCTATTATATCTAACATATCCGCTATATCCCAACTGTCGGCAGACAACTGCGGCGTCGTTGCTTCCCCATTCCCAGTCACAAATACCCCCGTCACACTTATTCGGAATCAGCAGGAATGAAGCAGAATGAGCCCGAACGAAGTTCGAACCACATTCGGGGGGAAATTTTCAAATCGATCTTAATTACCGTAAGAGTACCGTTGCAATACTCAGAATGCGCTTGAATTCGCCTGGAATGATGAGTGCATTTTCGACTGTGTTGCTCCCAAAAGCAGTTCGAATGTAGTTGGAAAACTAGGAATATTTATAATGCTGTAAGAAGGCAGTAAGAATATTTAGAATATACTTTGAACGGCGCACTAGTGTGGTTCGATTGCTGGCAAAATTAGTATTTCAGCTCATCCGAGGCACATTCGAAACATTCTGACGGAGTATAAAATGCCCGTCACACTGGAGGCGGAATGATTAAGAATGTCTTCGGAAATACAATTATTTGTGCATTCCAGGATATTCGAATAGCATTCTAAAAGCAATCTAAAAATGCTCTCGAATATGGCACGAATTTTTAAATTTAGTAATTCTGGCTTGATTCCTACTGATTTCGATTAAGTTTGACGGGGGCTTTAAGTAACTTGTCAGTTCGAATATTCCTCTAATGTTATCAGAATGTTTCGAATGCTGTCGGAATGCCGTGAGAATATTTAGAATGCAGTCATAGTGCAGTTAGAATACTGTTCAAATGTCATTCGATAAATTTCCACTTGGAATGCACTTCGGAAGTTTTGACATGACAAAAACATTCGGAATGCCACAAGAATGGGTAAAAATATTTAGAATGCACTCGGAATTTTTAGAATGCTCTTCGAATATCCAGGAGCGCACAAAGTATTGTCTTTCCGACGGCATTCTTGCTCATTCCGCCTCTAGTGTGACGGGGGTATAACGTACTTATACCACTGTCTTGATAGCCCAAAAACCTTGCAATGAGAATAAAAGAAGTTACAGAAAGGAGACAATGGTGCACAGCTCGCCTGGCTCACAGACAGGCCAATCTCAAAAAGGGCTGAGAGGCAGTTAGAATCAGACCGACCGACTGACAAACAGAATACGTATACTTACGTAGGTATCCCTGGCAGTAGACGCCAGCGTCATCATATCTATCTAAGCCACAGTATGAAGAGGTATATGCCCCAACTCCACCGTGAGTGCAGTCTGTAAGGTTGCTCTCTGTTCCCATACAGCCNCAGTTACAACACAAGGCCAGTGATTAGGGGCAATTGACCTGGATTTTCATTCCAGGTGAAATGACCCTAGTCATTTACTCCCTGATGATGGTGACTGACAGTCACAGAAATATTGGAGGTAATACCCACATATTTTACAAGCTCTTGATAAAAAGAAAAACAGTAATTTGAATTTATACATACAGAGCTAATGAAACTGTTCTCTCAGAATACCAGTAGTTTTGTAGATGTAGTCTTTATACTTGCATTCGTCTTTTCAATGAAAATGACGTTGACTGTAAATAAGCGAAACATTAAAATAAAGATGCATTATCAACATGATCAAAGAAATCATTAGTCAGTGATTGCTACTAAAGATTTAGTTGACGTTTTATATGCAATTCTGATATTATTCCCGTACGACTGTTAATAAATATATTATATTGCCAGTAGTTTAATAAACGGGCTAAAATGTTGCCAGTTAAGACAGCTTGCCGTCTGTTTACAATAATATATTATTAGGAAGTAGAAAGGTGATTATCTGGTAAGAACACATTTTTTTTAAATCTCAAGCTACTGAATAAATCACTTTAACTGGATACTTATCTACATAATATTTAGTTTCAGAGAGGACCTAGATGTTATACTTGCTCAGGCACCTCCTCGTGTGGCGAATTACAAACCCGGTTCACTTACAACACCTACATCACGTGTTCTTATGGATACGTGTGCCACGTGAGTCTCTTTCTCCCTTTTGCACGCGAGTACAGCGCAAGCACACGGTTACCTACATTCACGAACACGAGGAAACACATGCATACATAACATTAAGCATTCACCTGCAAAAACACACACAGGCGCACATATAAAGACACAATACATGCTGGCGATACGATAACAACATGTGACTTAAATTAACAATCTTTATAAAAAAATCCAGGCTTATTGAACATGCATCCTCATAATGCATTTACTACAAATTAAAATAAAACATTTCCCGCATAGATTTAGTTTACAAAAGGTTATGCACTTCTTCAGGTGCCTTCTATTCTTAACGTCGAGGAAATATTTTATGAAAACATTTTTATTGCCGTCTTATAATTTTTTCTTCTTCTTCCTCTCCATCTTCTTCTACTACTACTATTTTTTTCTTCTTCTCCTTTTCTTTTTCTCAAAATTTGCTCAGCCTTTTAGCCGCAATGGCAAGTTTTATGTCTTATAGTCGAAGAGCATTGCAACCCAAATGGCCGAATGGTCAGTGAATGTACCGATTTACGTTTTCTTTCACCAGCTTCAAGTTTAATGGTATCTGATTGAGACCTACTGGAAGCTGGTTAATACCCAATACAGCATTCATTATAATGTTTCTTTTATGTTATTTCAAAAATAATTGTTTTCCTGTTATTATATGGGTAAACATTTTTTTGCAGATAAAGGCTACGGCGTATCGCAATTACGCTCTCGATTTCGGTTCTTCTACCATTGCCTACAGCTACAGCCGCGGGTGCAGAGACCGATCATTTTGTACCAACCGGGAGTTTCTGGCAAGTACCTGCACGGGAACTGGGGCCAGTAGGGTCTGCAGGGAGTGCTGCACTAGTGACTACTGTAACAGTGGTACACTGGATACGTCCCAAGCCACCACCACTGACAGAGGATTCAGTTCAAAGTGTGCCTGGTTTAACATCTTCTTTCTTTTGATCTTTGTCTTTGCCTGGAATTGAAAGCCTAAAGTGCCTACTTTAGATCCTAATATGACAACAAATCTCTTAGGGCGCATTCCCATAGATTTTAGATCGATCTATCCCCGTGGGGAGTCTCACTATAGATAACTGTCAGATAATCCGACTTAAATGTCCGTCCCGCCTACTACAAGCTGTAAGGAGGTAATTAACCTCCGTGACCGCTTGGCTGACAGCTATTTAGGGTGAAACCCCAGGGAGTTAGGTTGATGTAGTTGGATCGATCTAATCTCTGGGAATGGGGTCTAATCCTTTAGCATTCAAACTCTTGCACGAAAAAAATCTGGTGTACAGTATTCAGAACTTTGACCAGAATTACGATCTAAAGAGTCGAAATTGGAACCCCAAGTTTCCATTGTCTTGGAAGTGTTTTAGTAATGCACATGCACATGCAGTTTAAGTAGTTTTCTACGGAAGTAGTGCTTATGGTAAGAACTCTGCCTGCATCCACACTTCATGTATTTATCCCTGTAATTGTGCCATACTATATTGTGTTTCAAAGGATGTTTTCCTTCAATAGACTAAAATATTAAAACTTTTTTCTCTTATATACATGTAGCATGAAATAATGAGTGATGTTAGTTACATAAATTTTGAAAAAAGTTAAATGATAATTTTGAATGCTAACAACGGTTTGGTAAAACTTAAATTAAAAACAAATATGTGTGTCTAATCTTGAATATTAGGGCATTTGAAAATGAGACTTTGTAACAGTATCGTGAATTTGCATTTCTTATATCTATTGGGAATATGTAATATTATATTTTTGCCAAATCTATAGGAAGGCAGACAAAGGAAAATATGTCTCTATATAATTGTATTGTTTTTTGCTAGTAATATTGATTTCTGTTTTGAGAAACACGTACATCGTGTGTCTTTAAGCCTATTTCAGGTCATAACCTTGTATAAAACCGCTTGAATAAAACTGTAGATAATTAAACAGACAAAAGTTGTCTCGAAAAGTTATTTAATTCACTATTTCAAATAACCAGTTGTGCCCCATTTTATTACTTTGACCAATACATATTTTCATTCATTTCCTAGCAAATCTGTCACAGCTTCCATTATTGTCGTTTTTTCACAAAAGGCAGTTTTTTGTCGCTTCCTATACTTAAACACATCCGTTTGGAGGTGAATAAAAGCCTGTAAAGTAGGTGGCGCCTTCTTTAAGTGATCCTACAGTATTATATATGCCTTACCGGTTCACTGTACTAGTACCTGGGCTCATTTTACAAATATTTTATAGCTCTTGGGCTAAGCTTAAAGCTTGCTAGAGTAAGGCAGCTGAACACGTGAAGTCGTTTTTTATATTGGGTGAAGATTTTTTAGAGCTACTAAAAAGCATCAGTGTTTGACATACCCAGATGAAATGACAGTGTAAGGAGCAACTAAAAGATGATAAGAATTTGCTCAAGGTGCTTACGTAAAGGACATTAACAGGAGGGGATTTTTTCTTAAGATATTGTGAAACTCATCTTAATTGGCGAAGTTTAGAAGGACAAACCCCTAGCTCCCCTAATCTTACTAAATACAGGTCCGGAGCCAGAAATTTGAAAAGGGGGTCCTTTTTATGAAAAAAAAGAAAACAAAAAAACTGGCTTTTAACCACGAATGTAGAATTATAATAGAATATGCATCTTCCCGGTTTTCATTATTTAAAAAAGAGAAAACCATTGAGGAAATCACGTGACCTACTGACCTACGTGACCTACTCCGCCTGCTGCCCCCCCCCCCCCCTTTTCGCCATTGCTGTTACATACAAGAAAAGACCCAGGATCAACTAGTGCTGGTCACCCATGGAGATCCAAAAGCATATTCGTTCCTTTGATCGGTATTTTTTGTAATATAGTGTGTTCTTAAAAACTCGTTACTGTGTAACAGAAAGTCCGCCCTCCATATAGTTATAGTGGTTAGGGTTAGTCTGTCCTAAGTGGGTAAAAATCTAGGACGAGCCTCAACTGCACAATGAATGGGAGGCGGACTCTCTGTCTAGGGGGACTATCTGTTACGTTTCCCCGGGTTATTTATCGTCCATTATGCTCAAGTCACGATTCCGTTTATCAGTCTCTTGATCGTCTTGCTCAAACAGTTGGGAAAATCTGCTTTGTTGTGTGGGTGTGAGACGAACGTTCCTTTCGTGCCCAGGCCGTGGCGTACATGTATCCTGATACTGCCCTTTACACCTCTGTGAACAAATACCGTTTTCAAAGAAGGGCATTATATTTCGAAAGTAAGCTTTGTTATTGAAGGGTTTTGTGACGCTGAAGAGTGCAGCACCATCGTGCTTCCATATTATAACCTTTTTGGTATAATTCACGTTCTAAAATATGAATATTTATATTCATGCATCTAAAACCCTTAGAACTGTAAAAAGCATGTAAATAGTCAGCCTGCCACAGCCTGCTACTTGGGTTATGAAGTTTATGAGTCCTAATTATTAGAGAAAAATAAAAAAAAGTATATGCCTTTATGCAGGTGTCAACATAAACGCACGTACAGAATTATTTCTTGGCGCAAATTCGGAGACATTTAGGTGAAATTGAGCTGCACGGTACAGAAAATGTCTTTGCAAGTGATATGGCAAAACGCACATATTTTCCCATAATAGTTTTTATGTCATCCAGGGCTTTTCAATAATCCAGTGCTTTCATGTATAATGCAACAAAAGTATTGACGATTGTCAAAAGAAGAGAAACTACATATCTTGTTTCTTTTTTGTGATGAGCCCACACTGCAGGGAGAAAGAGAAATTAATATGGGGTTTTATGTAGATCTAAACACAAAAGCACACAAAACGATTTTATGGGACAAGGTTATAAATCATTAGTTGAAATCTAGTTGAACAGTGCAAAAGACGCCTTTGCAAGTAATATGACAAAACCTGGGTACAAAAATGTTTGCTCACAAAGGCCTTTTACGTAAGTTAGTTTTTTTCATGCGTAACGCAACTAAAGTATTGAAGCTTGCCAAAAGAGCTGAAACAACGTATCTTGTTTCTTATCTGCGGTGAGTCAACAATGGGGAATACAGAAAAAAGTATATGGTGTTACCCCTAGCAAAATGTCACGCCTGCTGCGTATTTGCAGCGAATGTCGCAGCAATTGTTTTCTTGCAAACTCCTGCAAACTCGTTGCAGCAAGCAAGCAGGCAAGTTTGCTGCAATGCTTTTGCAAACTTCTCAAATTGCCAAGTGTGTGTAGGTCTTAACACAAACGCACACACAACGATTTTATTGGATAAGATCATAATAATTTAGGTGAAACAGCACAAAAGACGTCTGTGCCAGTAATGTGACAAAACCCAGGCAAAAAAAGTTTTTGCTCATAAAGGCCTTTATATTAGTCAATAACCCAGGGGTTTTCATTCGAAAATGCTATAAAAGTATTGAGGCTTGTGAAAAGAAGTGAAACTACATATCTTGTTTCTAATATGTAGTGAGTCCACACTGACGCCTTAGACAGAAACAAGTATATGGGTTATGCAGGTCCTAGCACAAATGCACACACAAACGAACACAAGATCTTAAACAATTATGTTGATAGTACAAACGACGTCTTTTCAAGTAATATGGCAACATGCACACACAAACACATTAGCTGATTAAAGGGATTGTAAACAACTCACAGAAATATAATGTATTATCTTTTTAAACACAAAAACGGCAGTTATAGCTATTATTCTGATATTTGAGCTTTTCATCGGACCACGTGACCTCCATAGATGGCTATACTCTGTAAATAATCTCTTAAGAGATTATAACAAAAAAGCAAACTTTTTAGAAAAAAAAAACCGGACTAACTTTGAATGTAGAAATGGATTCATTAACCATAGGTTAGTATGGGAAAACTGATGTTTACTTCAGGAAAAAAAATTGGCCAAAACGAACATTTATTATCCCTTTAAGTGTTTTACATAAGTGGATAACCCAGATCTTTTCATGCGTAATGCAATAAAAGGTGCTCCCTTTTTAAAGTTGTTGCCTTGCTAGGCAACTTCCAAAACATTGCCGATCTCAATCATCTTAGGTTAAAATTACCTGACTGGGGCGAAATGTGGCGGGTGAACATAGTTTTCATTTTCTTATTGTTCATTACACGGTGTCCTATTTACTGCCAAGGACAAGGTGAGCAAAATATATTTTTTTTAATTTAACCAACACAAAAACTGAATCAAAAGTGCCAAAAATTAAAGAAGCATTAACATAAAATCAATTAACATTAACCATATTCGCACCGGGTGGGGTCGTTTACTACTCCAGCAGCATATTTGTTAGCGTGAATGTTTTATTATTCATTACATTCCATGAAATTTCATAAATTTATCAAATTTTATTGAGCGTGCAAGAGATAAAAGTTTGGAGCTTTAGTTTCATTAACCTGTGTGATTATTTTGCCCCAAAAACGGTGCTGGGATCGACTCTAGTTTTCTGCAATTTGAGATACATGATCTTATTCTGTAAATTATACTCAAATAATTGATTAGATTAAGATATGAAAAACAAAAACAACAACAACAACAAATATATATATATATATATATATATATATATATATATATATATATATATATATATATATATATATATATATATATATATAATGCATGTGGTAAGGAAGGGTGTTACATACATATATCTTAAAGTGGATGAATTCCACAGATGAGAGCGATCCCCTTAGCAAAATATCAGGCCTGCTGCAAATTCGCGGCAAATTTACCACAAATATGTTATAATATTACTGCAAACTGCATTTCCTTCTTTAGCAGCAAGTTTGCTGCAATATGGCTGCAAATAAGCAGCAAGATTTGTTTTCTTGCAAACTCCTGCAAACTCGTTGTTGCAATTCCAAAAGTTTGCAGCAATGTTGCTGCAACATTGTTGCAATATTGCTGCAAACTTTTCATTTTGATATGGGGATTTTGGTGTAACAGAGTGATGATGAATAAGTGAACAATATGTTCGAGGCATTATCCGGCACTGCTGACACTGTGAGTGCAATTGATTATGATCCAGAGAATCAAGAAAGGCAACAACATCTTGTTACCCAAGAGGGTAAACTTTGTCAAATAAGACGAAATAAGGCGACAAAGTCATT